CTTGGAGCAACCTGGGCTAGTGGAAGGTGTCCCTGCCCATGGCAGGGGGTGGGACTGGATGAGCTTTAAGGTCCCTTCCAGCCCAGACCATTCATTATTAATGATTCCAGTTCTAATGATTAAACCCTGTATTTCAGCAGAAAAACACATTTAGGGACCAAGAGTTTGGACTTTACATAGACAATTAAAAGATTTCTGCTCTGTGAGGACCAGGAGTTATTCCCTCTCCAGGATTTTTTGCCTGGGTGGAATTTAGAAACTTCATTCAACCCCATACCTTCCTGTGAAAACTCCAAATAGGGAAGGATGAAGGAAGGAAGCAGGAAGAGAGTCCCCACCCCTCCTCTCCACTCTTGATTTCACACCAACTCCAAAATCCTGCTCAAGATGTTAAGGAACAACTAAGTAGCATCATGTGTACTAAGACTAAAGATATATATTACAACTAGACATATGCATCAGGTATTCAGATTCTCCAACTATTTCACTTGTGTTGCTGATATTGCAATGAAATTATATTTTATTACAGTTGACTTTGTAGCTGTTTTGCAAAAAAGGGCGGGATTGTTCAGGTCACATCATTACAATAACACACCAGGCTTGACTTTTGCAACAATGAACTGAAACAGACTTTTTAAAACATTGATTTTATATGAAAAAATAACTCACACCAATTCATTTATCATAATCACATTTCATTAACAATAGAATTAACAAAATCACAATATACATTTATAGTATGTATTTATTTATATATGTCACTTTGTATGAACCATTAACTCTATGTAATAAAAATATATTACAACATTTGATATGTATTCACAAAGCACAAGCTGTTGTAAACAGAATAGACAGCACAGGCCCCTTTATTCAAAACTTGAACTTGGAAGTAATATTTTTTTTTTTGCATTCCTTTAAACTGTAGACACAGAGAATTTTATGTGTCTGCCTTTAAATGAATGAATCAATGAAGTATCTTTTAGGAGATTATTACAGTTTAGCTTATCTGGGACCCTAAAATCCATGGTAACTCATGAGACTCTTGAGCATGTTGTCATTACAAAGAGGTCTGTGCATCCCTTTATCCATGCAATTTAGAAAGGTTTAATTTATATTACCATTTCCCCCTAAATAAATATCCCCTGCAATTACATCCCACTGTTATGCCAAAAAAAATCAAATGCAATAAATTATAATGGTATTTATAATAGTATAATCAAAACATGCCCTATCTACAGCAGGTATTATTAATGTTATTTCCTAACTATCTTCCTTCAGACTGGCTAGGTGCTTTTAGAAATAGGAAACAAACTGTTTTCAATATTTGCAAAACAAATACTTTAAATACACAGACAGGACATTTTATACCTCTCATGGTGTGAATGGTCCTTACTCAGCCAAGCAACCCCCCTCTCCTTGCAGCAAGGAGTTGTAAAACCAGCTCCTAACATCTTGTTTTTAGAGCAAGTGATCATCTAATAATCTAATGTAGGGGCAAATGTTTATGTCCAACTGCACCTGGAAAGACTGGTAATACATTACATTCCTGCAAGAATTCAGAAGGGAATGATTAGTGATTGCCAAATACATGAATTTTTATCCTAAAATAATCTTAAGAAAATAAAAACACTGCGAAAAAAATTCTGAGGTTTAGAAAAATGCCCTGTGTACAAATAAAGGTAAATCAAGGCACCTCTTAGTTATCTATTTCTATTTTCCAAGGCAATCTGTGATAATAGTTTTCAAATGTCTATCTGGGAAGCCCTGTGGTTTCTGCTATAAAAAGATCCATTCTTCATTCTGGCTGATGCAGGTGGCTTTGTTTTACTTGAATGAGGCTGGGCTGGATGACAGAGCACAGAGAACTTGTCCCCAGCCTTGTCACATGTTTGCTGTGTGACCCTAAGGACAATGAGTATTTAACTGATTTTTTCCTAACAGAAGTCATTCAATTAATGAGTTTTCTTTTTTTTCCTCTGTTGCTTATTGATCCCATTAGCAAAGAAGAAGGAGAATTTGCCTGTCTTTACATAAGGGTTTCGTAGTCAGAAGGGAATGTAAAACCCTTTGATGTTCAACAGAGCTTTTTAAAATTTTTGTTCAAGAATTCAAAGCAGTGCAAGTGCAACAGGACTGAACAGAACCTCCTGAGACGGGCAGCCAGAGGAAATCTGCAGCCAGCTTTGCACCTGGACCCTACTGCATTCCCACTGATATCTCACCAGGATGCTCTGTTTCCTTAGGGATTCTTGCTGGGTCCAAAATCCAAGAGGATGGAGGTTTTTGACTTTTTGCTCTTTGTATGAGTTTTAAGAAAGGTTTGCTTTAAAGCTCTGATTGTACAGCTACAGTGACTGGAACAAGGAAGATGGAGAGGGACTTTTTAGAACAGCATGGAGGGACAGGACAAGGGGAAATGGCTTCCCACTGCCAGAGGGCAGGGTTAGATTGAATATTAGGAAATAAATTCTTCCCTGTGATGGTGGTGAGGCCCTGGCACAGGTTACCCAGAGAAGCTGTGGCTGCCCCATCCCTGGAAGTGTCCAAGACCAGGTTGGATGGGGCTTGGAGCAACTCGGGCTGGTGAAAGTTGTCCCTGCCCATGGCAGGAGGTGGAATGAGATCGCCTTTAATGTCCCTTCCAACCCAAACCATTCTAGGATTCAGTAACAACTCCAAATAGAGATCCTTTTTCTAACATGTCTTTGTAGATTATTAATCAGCCATATGGACTTGTGCCTTTGGGTGCATTGAAACCATGTGCAGTAGTATTTCTTGAACAAAAAAAAAGTATTTTACTACACAATTGCCACCCATTCATGCTGTCACACACCTGATGCATCTTTTTCTTGGCACACACATTTCTGAAGTGCACTTACAGTCTCTAGGGCAAATCATCCTTCTTATAAATATAGACATCTGTGATAAACTATAGCAACCTCTCTAGTTCATTAGATCAGCATTATTTGCTTAGAAACCAACAATCCTAAATACATATTTACATGACACACATCAGAATTACAGGTAAGAAGAAGACATTTGACAAAGACTGCAGCAGCTCTTTTCTCCATGTAAACTTTTATGCCCCCCCCCCCAGGGACAGCTGCCTTTTGGAGCAGGGTGGTTTTCCTTAAGAAGCTTCACCCATCAAAGATTTTTTTATATACTGAATGCTGAAAGAATAAAAAGAAAATTAAAACCCCCCAGATTTAAGGCTACAATGTTATTGTTCTCATTTGTTCAGTTTTGGGAAGGTTACAAAGGTATAATCCCTGATTCTGCAAACACATAAACCTGTGCTCAGCCCTCAGTATCCAACAGAGCACACACAGAGTGAGCATGGGATCAGGATTTAACTGAGCTTTCTGTGCTGAAGTATTTTGTGATTTTAGGGTAAAGTAACAAGTCTCTGCTTTTGAGCTTTCCTTAGTGACAAGAACACTGAACGTGGGGAGAAGACAGCTCTAACAGCAGTGAAAAGCAACAATTTCCAAAGGGTTGCTCCAAAGGGTATTCACTATAAGTGTAAAAATGCATAGGGCAAGATATTCAGAGCCTTCAGAGCCTTCTTCATTTGGGATTAAGAGATGTGAGGGAACTGTGAAACCTTAGCCAGGTAGGTCCAGAAAAATTCACTTTCTGCAATCGACCTCAACCCCCAGGGCTTCAGGAATTAGACTGTCTCTGGTCACTCAAACAGTGTGAGTAGTTTCCACAGAGCACATCTGAATACCAGCAGAGTCTTCCCAAGCCAACAAGGATCTTCCTGTGGAGTCTGTGCTGCTCTTGCAGGCTCAGCCCATTCTATGGCAGCTACTGAGCTTTGACAGAATTTTCACCTTTCTCTTTGGGATGAGTGAACGTCTGAGAGACTCTGTGGAAATAGGGCACTGGGAAAAGCCCACTGCAGCCAGGGGAACACGTTATTTAAGCAGCAGCAAAGCCAGTTTGTAGCTCCCAACCTACCTGGCCCTCAGCCTCCCACTCACATCTCTCTCTCCCTCACTTTTGTAACCTCTTAAAGGTGTTCTGATGCAGCTGTTTCCTGAAGCTAAGTCTGAAAGGTCTTCCAAAAATTATTTTTAAAAAATATCTTCCAGGAAGATTTTGCTGTTGCCCTGAAGCAGATTTATATTCATCTAATGGGACCAAATCCTCAGGTGAAACCAACTATTATGTTGATTTATGTCAGGAAAGAATTTGATACTTATTAATTATTCAATAATTATCAGTTTGTCATAGTTTTTTGCCAAATGCAGTTACCCAGATCTTCACATTCACACTGGCTCAAAACTATCACATAGACCATGATCCTAGTTCACAGTTAGGGCTCTGAAATTATATAAATTACTCTAAAATAAACAAAAGGAAAAGCTCAGAAGCCACAAAATGACATAGTGGACTAAATTCTCTTACTCATCTGCCAGTGTTCTGCCTGCCAAATTTACAAGATATGAAAAAATTGTTAATTGAACATGCACGTGAGGAATAGATATTGCATATGGGACACAGATACCAACAAACAGAAAACTGCATATTGCCTAAGCAGCTGCCCAGTTTTGCACATGCAGTTCCAGATTTTGGGCACACATTGCAGCCATACTTTACAAACATTTTCCAAAAATATTTAAATAACAAATGGAAATTCCCCTTCTCTCCCCCCTCCCCCCCGCACACACACGTGTGTTTGACAAGAGAACATCTCTGCTTCATGAGCAGAGGTAATAAATACTGTGCATTACATTTACCATCATTATTCTAACTGGCTCGAGTCAAAGTGTTGTATAGTACATATAATACTCAGCAGACAGTTACTCATATCTACATTCATCACTTAGACATACATTTTAGAAAATTCTGCCAGTTGCCTATAAGAATTCAGCTGAATATCTAGCACTTAACAAGCCACAGTATCATATTTCTAGTATCTTATAAAATGCCATCAGGAAATGTTAGGGCATTACTTTTATTTTGTGTACTGAGGCAGTTTGTCAAGCACCAGCATTTACAACTCTCGCTTGCTTCAGGTGGTGGAAATATGACAATGTGTCGGAGAGCTGATGCAAGGAAGGGGAAATTATATCTATTCTCTGGTATAAGATTAATTACAGAAGAAAGGCACCATGAAAGAAAGACAAATTTTTAAACATATACAAGTGGAGAGATTTATTGCTCATGGTGACACGTAAATCAACCAGTGACTGACTGTGATACACAAGCATAATGAGACAAGTCCAATGCTGTATTTTTCTCTGTCTTTTAATAGATATCCTAAATGTAGAATAGTTGGGTTTTTTTTCCCTAGGAAATTATCTTACTCTCTTTAAATTTGAAATTTTAAATCCTTCTGGAGTTAACCTTATCAACATACAAACCTCCCATTGACTTTGGCAACAGGCCCATGTATAAGTTAACAACAGTTGTGGACCTTGACAACCATCCTGGGGCAATTCAGTAAAAGTGATCTTAGTAAAACATATAATGAATCAATATAAAGCTTTTTATCCTTTTTAAACTCATGTGTTCTGATTCACTCCAGTCATCAAAATTACTTGAATTTCTTAAGAAACAAGTATTAAGCTGGGTGTCTTTATCTATTGCACCTGAGAAAATTATGTTAAGCCTAAGAAAGAAAATAATTAAGATGAGGTAGACTATTTAATCTGGCTGAGGGCTAATTTGAATGCAGTGTTGTAAGAACTTAAAATCTGTGATTATAATAGTGTGTAGATTTTATTGTAATTGTGGTATTTTTATAGCTGAATAGTAATTAAGCTAAAAATTTTTATTTACGTGGCTGTTTATGATCTTCATCATATAAATTCTTCCATTTACAGAGCAGATGACTATGTAAATTCACAGATTAACATGGTTCCTTGCAGCTGTAGCCCATGCCAGGGCGAGGGCTAAGTCAAGGCTCTCCAGATTGATAACAGAGGTGTTACCCCACATTCACCGGCTTTGGGGTGAAGCCCCTCACTGAGTTCCCTGTCTGGGCTTTGAATCAGAGGCCAGAAAATTCAACAGTGGGTATTTTTTGCAACTTATTGAGCCTTTTTCTTGGGTGACAGTAAGTGGTAACTAAAAAGTAATCCCTCATTTTTAAAACTCGGGCTCTTGTTTTCTCAATATGATCCCGGCTGTGTTTTCTCAGTATGGGATTGACAGTAGGAATATGAGCAAGGGGAGGTGGTAGCACAGCCAGCTGTGTCAGCTGTTATTTAAGCTGCCATTGCATGCATGAAGCCTAATTAACCAAGGCTATTCTAAATCTAGGCATGCATCTGACGGCATGGGAAGTGTTAATAATGTCCCTATGCATAACTGCAATCTAGAGCTGTAAAATTTGGACTGAAATCTCCTGAGATCCAGATTATTGGCCCCACTTTCATGATGGAGTGGAGGCCTATTATTTTTCCTCCACTTGCTTTGAAAATTATACTTTAAATTCAGATTTAGGCTCATCTTTCTTTGAAGTAGTAAAAAAACTATGATTAATAACTCCTCAGAAAAAGGAATTTTATTTTTTTTTTCTCCTGGGCACAGGGCCCAGTTCTGCAGATTTGGGCAAAATTCAGTTCTTTATAGCTCAGATATATGGAATTAAGCAGGAGGCATCCTGACCTTTCCACTCTGCCTACCTTATGAATTTTTCTGAAATCCAACAGGGAGAAAATTAGTGGGATTTTGTGTAAATTCCTTTAAAATCTAGAGTAGATATGGCTGAATCCACCCTGTAGCATACATCAAAATTGTTTTTTCCTTAAATTCCACAGGATTGTTCCAAAAAATATATATATATGAAAAGGCTGAAAGCTGTGTTGGGCACTGGACTAATATTTAAATAAAGATCTTTATTTTTTTTAAGCTTTTTCCATTAAGTTTTTTTTCTATACACATCCTTCTCAAGCAACTAGGCTGGGGTGGGTTTTGTAAAGCCATGTTGGCAGCTACATCAGGGGGAGCTTTAACTGCAGCCAGTGAAAAACACAGCACAAACACCCCTATGCAACTCTTTAGAATAATCTTATGATGACACCAGTTTGCTCCCATTCCTTTCATGAGCCCTTCTGCTGAGGACTAGCTTTTTATCTATGGATGCAACTGCTGATGGAAATCAATGGGAGATTTGTATTTATGAAGCCTGCAGGACCACAGATCAATAGTGCTCTTCCAGTCAGAGGCAGGAGGTCCAAAGCAGCCTGACTCCCTAAGGTGTTAGCGTGGGCTGGCACTGACCCTGTCCATCACTGCCTCCCAAAACCTGGACAGCTGAGGAGAGCTACTAGGGATAGGCCATTGAGTTTTGTTCCACATATATCATGTTTTATGTCTTTTAGGTCCCATACCAGGCTCCTCACTCGTTCAGCTGCGATATATTCGGGTTGTGCGACTCGCTCGTGAGGGCGGAGGAGTTGATGGAGCTCCTCTTGAGGATCTTGTTTATGATGTCCTTCCACGTCTTCTTGTACTGATGCCGGAGCAAAGAGTACACAAAAGGGTCTGAAACAGCTTTGCTGTAAGCCAAGCACTTGGAAATGATTCCCCAGTGGGAATTGATGTGGACCACGGAGGATAATTCAACAAGTCTGTGGAAAGAGGGAGGTAGAAAGAGTGAACATTCACATTAAAAACCCAGAGCAACAGCACAACTGAAAGACATTAATCCACCCCCAAACCCCTCAAGTTATTCCTGGGCAATCACAGCAAAACAAAGAGGAAGACATACTCATGAAAACATGAATGTTGTCCTCCTCTTATGAATTTTTAAGACTGCAAATGTGAACTTGCGGTCTGTTGGCCAAAGTGCTACTGCTTGGTCTCATGGAAGTCTTATTTCTCTACCATTATCAATCTAAAAATCCAGCATCTAGTCTGAATTTGTGGTTCTAGGTCCCCTTGAGGACATCTGGGAAGCCACTCACTAGTGCTATCCAGCTTTCTATCCAACTCCTAGAGAGAGTTCAATGCTTTTAAACAGTTTGCCTGAGTTGCAGAAGCACACTAGGAAGGAAAATCCATCATCAAGAGATGGCATATTATATCTTGAATTTAAAAACTGGACAGCTTTTTAAGGCCAAGCACATACATTTGCAACAAATCTAGCAAGACAAAACTTATAAATTATTAGGGGAGGGAAGAGCTTCATATACTCCTCATACCTAAACAAGCACAGAGAGTTCACTCTGCACCCAGGGAGAGTATTTCTGACAGTGAAATATTGATAACTCCCCATGTCTTCGAGCAAGACCAAAGGGCAGTTCTATTCAATATGCCTCTATAGCTGTTAGAAACTATTGATTTTCATAGAGGACAAACAGCCACGTGTGCTGCTAGAGAGCCCCACCAGGCCACGGCAAACAAGACCTTTGCTGAAACTGTCTTCAGCAGCAGATGTTCTTAAAACTGTCTGGAAAATACTTCAATTACTCATGTTTATTCAGACAAAGCACCAGTTCCAATGAGCATTCTGAAGCATGGTTCCTGCAGCAGCAATGACAACAATGTTGGCACTTTTTAGAGATGAGGATTTTTTTTTCCCTCGGTCATTTTATTCTCATTCCATAAACTTTCGCCACATTGCGTTGTTTAAAATAATGCTGGCAGATGGCACAGTCCAGTCATTTGAGCATGAAAGTGGGACTAAGGAGCCTTAATTTGTTACAGCACTATGACCTTCTGTCTCTCTCTGTTTGCCCAAGCTGCAAAACTCCACTGCAGAAGCTCTGTCTCTTCCTAGATGTGTGTGCTGGGCTCAGTAGCTCTGAGGTCCCAAAGAACTTCGTATCTGAGATTCTGTCCTATGTCCTTTGTCCTTTCATCTCAACTAAACAAATGTTATTATTTCCACCTCCCCTTCTAACTCGTACCATTCCTTTTCTTACAAAGTAGAATGAGGACTGAGACATAATTATCATCAAGTCCAGCTGCTGGGTGGTCTCATCTGGTGTATTCTCTCTTGTTTAATAAAATGGAGCTTATGACATCCAAATGAATGTGTTCTAAAATGAGAACTGACAATTTGGAAATTAGTCAGCTCCTGAGTCATATTTACATTGTAATCTACCATGATCCATCCTTCTTGTTGTTCTCCACTCCATTTATTTGATGCCTACTTCACATTTTGAATTTCATCATGTTGAATTTCATCTGGATGATTCATTTTTACTGAGTGCTTTACAGATGTGAATTTGATTATATTTAATTAAATTCAGTGGATGCCTTGAATAGCCAAAATGTGACAGATTTGTGTCTGAGGCTCTGTCAATCAGTTCTATGAAACATTAACAAGCTCCATTTAAAGCACATCAGATAGACACTTCAGGGTTGCAAGCCTAGACTTGCTAATTTTACCTTCATTGACTGATCAAATGAAAAGCCCACACTTTTATTAAAAAGACTTTAAATATTTTCTTTGATTGACTTCTGTAAGTTTCCTTGACATTTACACATTTTTCAATTCTCATGTGTTATTTTTTATAGTAAATTACATTTGCAGTTATCAAGCAGCAAACACAGAAATGCAGCCAAACCCCAAGCTATGCATTTCCATTTCATGTACAATTAAATGTCAGCCTTTCAAGGCATATCAAATATTTTATTGCCTTTGAAAGGCTTTGTTTCTCATTTACGAGGGAAATTATATGCATAGCTTCAATTTTCACGAAATGTTTCGGCCAAAAAGAAGACATTTTCAGTGAAGGAATATTAATATTTCAGTGCTACCTGTAAATTAAATTTTACAGCATCAGATACATAATTCCCTATCTCGCTTTCATAAGCCACTCTTCTACTGTTGGATCTTCAAAATCTTTTTATTTCAAAGCTATAAGCTCTTTCAAAGCTATAAGCTCTTTCGATATGATGCCTTGTTCACATTTTAGAAACTTCAGTTCTGCAGAGTGTGTCGTGTCACGTGGTTATCCAATTGTTTTATTTCACTCTCGGTAAACAAATGAGAATGGGATGTTGAAGAGTATGACCTTGATCTCTATGCACATAATACTGGAAATCCTTTATTTACATGTGCAGTCAATCACTACACTAATATATATTTGCTGAACATGTGTACACCCAGATGGAAGGCTGAATAAATGACAACATCTCTGTCGAGCATTGCTTAAACCTGGGGCTTTAACTGAGTTATGGAAACAAGTTGAAATGTCTTGCTGTTCAGAAGTGAAAGAAAACTGGCACTGAAGGCTGGATCTGGTAGATGATGCAGCTCTTACAAGAAGAAATTCAACGCCTTCCCCAAGAATTCATATGAGCTCTTTGAGGTAACATTTCTGTTTGTGCCTAATTCTGATTTTTTTTTCCCCCATACAATTCCCATGGTACCAGAATTATACATTGTTTTTCATTTTGGTGTTGATCATTTGAATAAGCTGATCATCCCTGGAAGTGTTCAAGGCCAGGTTGGACAGGGCTCAGAGAAACCTGGGCTAGTGGAAGGTGTCCCTGCCCATGGTAGGGGGTGGAACTAGATGGTCTTTAAGGCCCCTTCCAACTCAAAACATTCTATTATTCTATGATCAGTTTTATCTTGATGTTCATCTGAACTTATTTTTACTTTATTGCCTGATGGACTGAATCCTTTCTGTGATGATTTGCTGATGAAAAAGCCCTATTTTAATAACTTCTTCTCTGTACAAAAATGGCATCACAGTCATCCTTAGCAGATTTATCCTCAGCCAGCTTTGCCTCTTAAGTGGTGCATACATGGCAACCAGAGAGGTTCTGTAAGGAAGCAGAGTTTGGGACTTGTAGTTAGACCTGCAAATCTTGCAAACCATTGTTTTCAGTCATAGCTGTTCCCCAGAGCTGCAGGAATCATTTGCCAGCAGCACAGGGGTATAAGGAGAGCAAACAGGATTGTCTGGCTTGTACCAAAAGCTCCCATTTTTCCACATGGAGACTAGAAGGCCACTTCAAATATGTCAACCTATGATTGCCTAGGAAATTTATGCATTTATATGCATAAATAGGCAAGAATACAAGTTGCAGAGGAATTCTGAACTTCTTGTCTCCCAGGCAGGATCTGCATATGTAGAGGGCAAGCAATCAGTTTAGAAACAGAGTTTATTTACCACTTGTCCCCCAGAGATGATACAAGAGAATTTTAATCTTCTTCTGCCTGTTCCATCAGCCTCCTATTTAACCTGAGGGCTTGGGTCTGTGAACTTCTGTCTGATATTACTTCAGGATTTTTAATTTAAGGCCAATTTCCTCACACATTGACAGCACTTATTAACTTACATGAACAAAGTTCTGTATTTCAGTATAAAATGCCTGGAGTTGGAAATGAATATTAGAAACTGGTAAGACTTATCTTCATTTTTCTTATGAAAAAGATCCTTGGAGAAAAGAGGCTTGGAACAATATTATTTAATTGCATAATGTTAAATATAGCAAAAGAAGAGATGTGTACTCGTAGAAGAACCAAGAAACAAGCTATGCCTAGAAATATATAATATGGGGTAATACATCTGTCATACTGATGGAGTGGAAACACTGAATCAAGAAGAATCAGATTCTACTGATACACTACTTAAGGTCATCTCTTGAACTAGTTAGGATGATGCCTACTTCATAAAAGAAGTGCCTAATCAGATTTTTACCTTAATGTGGTCTGAAAAACTCTGTTTTATCCAGAGAGGCATTTATCTGCCTGGGATTATAAGCACAATTCCTTCGCTGGTTCATGGAACTTCTAGTGCCACCTATTTATTTTTAGTGTTGAAACAGAAAGATGTTATAGCAAAGCCTTGTGATTTGCTGCTTTCAGCCTCCAATTCAGGGAGTACTGAAGAGCATGTTTAATTTAAGTGTATTGCTGATTAGAGCTGACTGACCAAATGAGAGGCTGAGCAACACACTCCCTCCTCTGCCTGCTGTTCCCTGCCTTGAACTGGGATTGATTGCCTCTCTCCTGTAAATGCAAAGTGCTGGACACAGCCCAGAAAATACTACTTGCTTGCAAAATTAAACTCAAAAGTCTCCTTATCCCCTTGACTTCAAGACCCTCAGCCCCATGTGCGAGGCAGAGGGAAGCACAGTGATGGGTGTCTTTGAATATCCATCCATGCAAGTGTCCAGCAAAGTCTCTCAAGCAGCTGAAGAGGGAATTCCCTTTGGCATGCAGTGCTCTGTTCCCCCTAGACATGTCAGAACTGAAAAGACCAGGAATGTGAGAGACTTCGACGCCCCTGATACACCTGGCCAGCTCCCAGGGTGCATCTTCGTGCATTCAGGACACTGCCTTTTGTCTCTTCTCATCATCACTGTCTTTTATGGATCTTGTGTGGGCTAAAGAGAGGAGGCTCAGGATTTTTCTAACCCTTCTTCTGTATCTTAAGGCCACTGGGACACAACCTGGGACACCACAGGGTGAGGAGGAGGCAGGGAGGTGGTGCCTGAATGCTGAGCTGAGATGCACAAAAATACTTGTGACAGTTCGAGTTAGAGCTCTTGGGACTGAGCCACCAGCTATTGTGTGACTGTGGTGATTTTCATTAAGATCAGACACTCAACATAAAATAAAAAATAACCATTTGCAATGAGATAAATAGTTTAATGTCTTATAGCTTGAGATCTAAGGCTGAATGTTCATAATTACAAATCCCTTTATACCATTTAACTGTGTGGCTTGTAATGGTGTCTTGTGACCACTAACTGAAAGGGAAGGTGATTCTAGTTACCTTTATTTTCTAATTCTAAAAAAACAGGACATTATACTGAAATGGAAAAACTCAGGGTTTGCTCCATGTCCACTTATATCGACTCTTAATCCAGATTTTTCAGTGATTTTTTTATGTTGGATCTGAGTTTGATTGAAGTAAGCCCCACTAATTTCTACTTAATAGTATTGGAATAGGAGACACTTTAAAAATATTTTTTTTCTTTCTCTGTTCTGCATAGCAGCATCTCAGTTTTTCCAGTCTTTTAATAAGGAATGCAAGCTATAAATTTCCTTCAACAGCTAGATAACATTTTTCTGGATATACTCACTTTCTAATACTTTATATTTCATAGGAGTAATTTAGTGTTTCCCACAGGAGCCATTTCCAAAGATAAGCTAGTAGATAGATAGACATCTGATCATAAATCACAAGCAAATTTTTTGTTATGAGCCAGCACAGCTTTGATATTTGATGTTTATGACTAATAAACTCTATCCAGTCAGAAAAAACTATGGTTTAAGTCTTGGGACCCTATTCTCACCTCAGCTGGATCTTGTTGACCAAATTTTTACAGTCTGACCTATTCAGGCAAGTGTCTTCCCCTGAACCAAGGAGGCAGTCCAGGCAGTAGGTGACTACTTGACCCCCCAAAAAAGTCTGCAAAATTGTTTGGGCTGACTTTCTAAATCACTCCCATGTGACCAGCACACTGGCTGGGCTGTCTGAGCAGAGTCTGATCAGAATCCTGCATCAGGATTGAACTGGATAAGCACTATGACATTTCACATCATTTGTTAGCTCAGCAAATGCAATCTCTGTTATAGGATTGGAAACAGTGCATCAAATTTTCACAGGAAACAGAATAATTTTGTGGCTCAGAGGGCCCTACTTCTCTGATTTACAATTGCATCTCAGGAGTCTTTTCCAGGATGTAGGTTCACACTTACCTTGTAATTACATAAGGTGCAAAACAAAGTATGAAGGTACCAATAAAGGTACTTATTTTCTTTGTTGCTCGCTGCCTCCGCCTCTTTTGCTCTTCCAGACAACGCTCTCTCACGCTGTGTGACATTCAACACAGACAAGAACATGAATCATAGTATCAGGTAACAGGTTTTAATGGCTTTACTTATGGAATGATGGAAAACAATCTTTCCAGTATCTGTTATGATCACATAAGCCAATACCAGGTGCACTGCATTTGTCTGGGACAATATCAAGCATTAATGCATTGTCTGACCATCTTACCCTCCAAAAGCAGTTACTGAGAAATACAGGATTGTGTATTTATGTGCACACACCCCCATTGTATCAATTGATCTATAGTCATATTGGTGGAATTCAGCCTTGAAGTCAGTTGGCAGGTCCTTTCTGAATTACTCTAAGCAGTATTTGCAGACCAGAGTCTGCCTCATGATATTGAGAGATTTGGAAAATATCCATTTTGGGATGGGCAGCATGCTGCTTCCCTAGAAACAGCAATTCCAACACCACTACCTTAGGGAGGAGAAACTTCCCAGCAAGATAAGAAATAAACCACAAAAAAATCATAATGGGAAAACACATGCTCTGGACTTTCAGATTGCTCCAATACCGGAGCAGTCACTGTATCCCACAGCCATGAACTGTGTGTCCATAAATATTCCATCAGCCTGTGCAGCTTCGTGCTGCTGCCATGCTGAATGTTTTGCAAAGCTGAGAATTGTATAATAAATCCACAACCCTGTGATGTCCTTACTTCTCACCTCAAACCAGCCCTGTTTCCAGCTAAACAGACACAAATTAGTCCCACCCTGTGTTTCTTCCTCGGACTAGAACTTGTCCTTTGGGTTTCCTGTTGGTGGTCTCAGCAGGCCACCAGGGAGCTGCTAATTCCCTTGGTGTGCCAGCAAGGTGGTGGGACCATGGTGTTGAGGCCTTGCTATCACTGCAAAAAATCTCCTTTGAAACCAGCACATTTTCTTGTCAAGAGAGTTATTAATGTGAAATCTCATCCTCTTCCTTTACCTGGGTGAGTGACTCCTGTGCTCCCTGTGCTTTGTGAGGGAAGGGGACGAGTTACTGCCTGCTCCAGGCAGGCAGATTGGATGGGTTGTATGTCCCAGAGTGCCAGGATCATCTGTACCTGAATAAATCCCTTTGGAAAGGGCAAAATCAAAGCCAGACTGCCATCCTGAATGCTCTCTATGCACATTATGGTGCCACGTGTTGACTCATTGCACAGATCTCATGGTGACGCAATTCAGGCAAACTGAAGGGACTGGACCATGTCCCGTGTCTATACATATAATTTTTAAAAACTGCTTGGCATTGGCCTCTCTTTTTTATTGTAACTTTGTAATTGATGATTCACTCTCAGGCTCCACACTCTCATGTGTTCGTAGCTGAGGCTTAGGGCCATACACTCACATTATTTGCTGTATCTGCAAATGTTTTATCATCATCTAAACACATGGTATGTCCTGAGGATCTCACTGTGCATTGGTGATCTCTGTGGTAATGAGTTCTTACGTTGCCTTTCCACTGTGTAAAAGAAAATGTGTTTCCTTTGTTCCATTCTATGTTTGGTCTTACATTGCCAGTCCCCAGAACAGCTATCATGACATGGTGAAATAAATACTGGAAGAAAAGTTTGTTCTCCTTGAAGTGACAAATCATCTTTCTCTCAAAGAGCATGCCACATCTAAAAGCATTGCATGTTCTGTGCCTGAGTTATTTGCAGCTAGAAATGACAGCTGAGAAGAAAAAGAAAATCCACATTTTCAAGGGAACCTGTGGTCTTTCAATTCTGCAAGAGATGGAGAACTTGGAGTATTTTTAGGTGCAGACAGATTATCTTAGAGGTTCAACAGCTTCATTTAAGACCTGTGTTATTTAATTCATAGTATCCCAAGGCCACAGAAATATGGGAAAGTGTATCTCCAAAGCAGGTTCAATTAGGGTGTTCTAAGGGTGGAGAGGGTGTGTATTTTTTGTCTCTAACAGTTTCCCCAGTTACATCTTTTCCTTACTGGCACATACCAAGCTGTCTCTGACTCCTGTAGCTCACACGCGACTGTCCTGATACACTTAATCCAATTTCTTTTGTTCAGCCTTTCCAGATGTAGCCAATAAATACCACAGCACAGATGAAGGTATTTTATCTCACTCCTTCATATAGACAATGTACAGACAAGTATTTTGCTCTTGCACACACTTCCATGCACTAAGATAAGAACACATATGCCAGTTCCAGTAGTGACACCAGTAACAGGATGGGATTATTGACTAAGCTTTCATTAAAGATTTTACTATCCTGGAAAATCTAAGCTATATCCCCTTGAAGGGATATATTTATTTTAAATAAAGTTTATGAGATACTGGACCTTAAGATGTGCAGAGCTGGATACACCAAAAAGATTGTGGAGATAATTTGAGCAAAGAAATACACGGGCTAAACACTTAAGTGTAGTTTTGCCCAAATCTCTCACAATTCCTAAGATATTTTGGTCTTAAGAACAAAGTCAAGAAGAAGCAAGATCCACTAGAAATACCTAAGCTAACTTGAAAGAACATGTGCCCTAAACATTCACATGAATTTGTATGGTATTTAGAGGTTTCCTTTGTACTCATCTTGAATGATCTTCAGGAGGTCACTCGTGTCTTTCTAAGTCACAGGTAATGAAGCCATCTGTCGTAATGCCTGTCACTAGATCCCCTTGTGGGTGGATTCTGAATCATAGGAAGCAGAAAATTGTCTTTACACATTTCTCAGCGTTGAAACTAGACCCTGGGAAGAGCTGGAGGAGTCAGGGTAGTCTAAGCTGGGATTGCAAACTTTGTTCTCTCGTGTGAGTTCTCCCAGCATCCATGTCCATGGTGTCAGGTACACACTGAAATTGCCTGTATATACACACTAATATAAGGCAAATGATGCCTTTGTTGTGTCAGAGCTTCATGAGCATCACTGGCTGCTCCAGGAGAGCTGCAGCCTCTGTGCAGCTCTCACAGGAGGGGAGGTGACCTGAGAGCTGGCCCTTTCAGCAGCAGGAGCTGTCACCGGTAAGGCAGCACCTCCACGGGTCAAATCAGCCACCAACTCTGTAACCTAGAAAAGAAGCTCAAACTCTCCTTTCTTAGAGAGAAGCATTAGAATAACCTGATGTGAGAGGTAAGAGTTGTTGGTACAGGTTACTCACAGCAAAGTGCCTGTACAACTCTGTCTCCTCTGAAGAAAGGAAGCATCATTCCCACAGCCCCACTGAATCCATTCCTCAGTGAGATGATTAGAAAATGCACAAAGAGCCTCAAATTAACCTAGACCATACAAAATGCAGAGGAGGAGAAATAACATTGAGACTTTTGCCCTTTTTCTAAACTTTGCTGTGCAGTCCAGACATACTTGAGGCATTAGGCAAAACAAATGCTGTTTCAAACAGCCCCAGAGGGTTTATGGCAGTGTCCTGGGAGTAACCACCACATGTCTTGGTGCAGGAACTAAGACAGTCGAGGCACAGTTTATCAACCAGACAGCACATAGGACAGAAGGGTGTTTTTTCCTCAATTTGACTTAGTGAATAAGGGAAGATTTATACCTGTATTTCTCAAGAACAGCAGCAAGCCTTGCCCAAAGTTCTGCTCTGCATTCTTGATCAAGAGACAGCTCAAAGAGCTTAAGTGGAGAATTTTGAGCAAATGCTTCTGTTCTTCTAACAGTGTGCTGTCCTGCCCTGATTCTTTCAGACTTGTTTGCCTTAGCCTCAGGAATCCCCAAAACTTGACCTGTTTTTGAGGACAGCCACATGTGCTCTGAGCCCTGCAGCTCTGCTCCTGGCTGGCTGCAAATGGAGAGAGCCGGTGTTCGCCTCCAGCTTGTGGGGCACAGGGGAGCAAGGGAGGTCAGATGGGATGTCTGGCACGGGACTGCCCTCTCTGCTATCCTGTCTTCCAGGCAGACTTCTCCCCTCATATCAGACACCAAGCCTGCATCCCTTCCAGATCCATACATTGCCTATTCATGCAAGATTTATAGCGTAATCCCTGATGTGACTTTTGCTCAGCATCCCAGCACGCATTCCTTCCCGTTCAGTGCTTGCCTTCAAGCCCACTATCCTTCCAGCCCCTGGAGGCTCTTCTCCTCCTGTGTCTGTGCACAAGGGGCTTGCCTAAAGTCTCTCATTTGAAATGGGCTTTATACATCCCTTTTTTGTCATATTAACACTGCCGCTGAATTCTCTCTTACTTAAATTTAAATATAGGCATTCAAGCACACGCATTTTGCAGATGTTATTCCCTTAGGATTCTGCCTTCAGGAATGATAAAGTTAGAGAGAGCACAGCAGTAGGGAAACTGCTGAGCAAAGGAGCTGCAGGCAGCGCCCAGCTTCCCTTCCAAACTCCAACTGAAGGGACAGGTGCAGCCTCCTCCCTCAGGAATCCAGCAATGTTTTGGGCTGACAGTGCCAAAAATGCAAACCGATCAACCACTAAATCCACCTTCAGAGACAAAGGGCAGGGATGTGGTCACTGTCTCAAAGGGAAGTGCATTCTCAGCTAAAACCTCCCTTTTTTTGTCCTCCCTCCCAAAACAAGTCTTTAAGCCTAACAAACAGAAAATGAGTTCTATAATCAGAGAAATAAACCCAAGTAAAAAGAAACATGCAGAACAGAAGCCATCAGAGAGGATGGTTGTTTTTTACCCCTCCCCATCCCTT